TCAGTCTTCTCCATGTCATCCTTCAATACTTGGATTTGAGCTTCGTAGTCGGCTTTCTGTGCTTTCAACATATCAGAGTCATTAAGTCCGTCTTCAATTCTCTTTGTCAACTCAGCAATTTTTCTCTGAGCATCTTTATTGGAAGAATCAAGTTTTTCTGTTCTTATCTTCTAATTCGTCTTTCTCCGAGTTCAAAGCAAAAATCTTCTTATCACTTGCATTCTTGGCCGAAGTCAAAGCAGCAGTCTTTGTCTTCCCTGCTTGCAATTGTTGGTTATACCCATCTCTCTCGTCTGAAACCTTCTTGTTTTGAGTAACTTGTATTGTTTTTTGAAAAATAAAGTATTTGAGATAATTGAAATCCAAAAATACACTTTTACAACTTTTTAATTATTATACATTATGATAAATAAACTATTCGTTATAGTTTTTTTAAATATAATTTCCACTTTCTGTTTGAAATGTATTGATTATTTCCTTTAATCTCGTCCAAGTAATTATTACATTAAAAAATGACCAGGCAATTATTGTTTATAATAATTATATAACAACATATAATTTATTATAGTTTAATTTTTTGGAAATAGTATCAATAAAGTTAATTAAAGGTATCATTTTATTATATTTTAATTATATTGAACATAATAAAAAGAAATTATTATAAATAATTTTATTTATTTTAAATTAAGTCTTTTAAAACTAAATAAACATAAATAGTTTATTGCTAATTTACAAAGTCTAATATAAAGTAATTAATATATAAATTAATTTATAAAATGAGATAGATTTAAAAACCCTAAAACACTTTATTTGGTTTGTTTCAATTGGATTGTTCCACATTTTTCAAAACAATAAAATATTGTAAAAAAACACAAAAACAAATTAGACAATTTATAAATAATTTAAAAAGGTTGTTTTTCCTTTTTTAATCGTCAATTTGCCTTATTATACAATTAAAACGATTACAATATAATTAAACTTATTTAAAAATATAGTTAAAATTGGTTTTTCTAATCTCGTTTTGCATTTTCTCCTGATGGTTCTTAATTTTTTTGTAGTTTTTGAAGCAAATTAAATTTTGTTTTACCACATTAAAAAAACAATCAATGATTATGCGATATTTAGAAGGAATATATTTATATATAATACGTATTTTACTGTTCATTTTTAATTGCTATTTGTTCAATTTATAAGTTGTTTTATAAAACACCAAAAATAAAAATTGAATTTATTATTTAACCCCTTTGTTTGCATGCAAAATGATATTGTTTGTGAAAAATATCTCTGGAATAGACATAGTGTAGTTTATTATAATCTTAAGTTGCGTCTGTTTTTGATTTTTTTTATCATTTTGTTTTCACAAAAAAACTATTAAAAATTATTTTAGAGTTTTTTTTTTCAATGTTTTTAACAAAAAATTTTGAATAGTTTTTTCTACAACCAACTTTTGTATAAAGAAAATAATGAGTTGCTTTTAGTGTTCATAATCGGGCTAGTTAAACATCATCTTATTAATTATTGTTGTTTTTTTAAAAAGTTTTTTTGAAACAACACAAAAATAGACAATTATATGGTTGACATTTATTCTGAAAAATGATGTCTTTGTAAAAGTCTTAATTAACCCGTTTTGTTTAATTTAATTCATGTGACGACTAGTATAAATTTGAATTAAAGGCAAATTATATGAAATTGTTTTTATTTTGAAGATTTATTTTTTTTTGTTTGCTATCCAAAAATGGTATCAATTTCAAAAAGCAAAAGATAAAATGTAATTGATTTAATTAAATTGGTATATACATTAACTTAAATAATATATACAATTTTTAATTTGATATACATGTTTTATTATAATAAGTGTTGATAAATTGAAAAACATTTTGATGTCACATTTTGATATATTATTTATTTTAAAGATCAATTTAATAAACGAAACAATCATGTTATAAATTTGTATTATAATAAATCATTAAAAATTTATAATAATATTAATACATTTTGTTTGGTTACATCAATGTATTTTTATAAATAAACAAAATCAATCTTGTTTTTTAGTGTTTTTTACTAATAGTTAATTTACTATATATTGTCAAATTATATTATATTTTTATTTCATAAAATAGTCTATCGATCTTTTTCGAAGTTATATTGTTTAGACAAAATGAATTGACTTTATTAAACTATTAAATTATAGTTAATTATATTAAAAAATTTGTTATGTTTATTACAAAAGATTTTATGAAAATTTATCTTGATTATAAACTATTACATTTAATTTTACTTATAATTAATTTACTATATATTAAAGGATTAATTAAATTGAATTTGTCATTATTTCAGTATACATTATTGCCAAATTTGTTCAATAACAATATAAAAATAAATAAAAGTTGGTTAAAGAACCAAATGGAATAAAAGTATCAAAAAACAAAAATTAACTTTGTTTTTAGTGAAAATATTGGTGATAATAAACAATTGTTTTTTTCTCAAGTGTTTTTTTGGGAAATTGTTAAGAGGGGCTCCCTGTTTTTGAAAAGCAAAAAATGGCAAAATTGACGAACGCCTGATCGTGGTTAGAAGATAAGAACAGAAAACTTGGTTCTTCTAAAAAAGATGCTCAGAGAAAAATTGCTGAGTTGACAAAGAGAATTGAAGACGGACTTAATGACTCTGATATGTTGAAAGCACAGAAGGCCGACTACGAAGCTCAAATCCAAGTATTGAAGGATGACATGGAGAAGACTGAAAACGACATGGCTGGTGCTATATCGAATATGAACCAAAAAGACGTTGAAATTAATAACTTGAATGAATAACATGCCTAAACTATTAATAAGAAAGACAAGCTTGAAGCTGATGCTGAGAATATGAATAGAAAGAAAGATGCTCAAGAGAAGCAACTGGCTCAATTGAAGGCTGACAATGACAATTTGACTAAAGCCAAATCTATTGTCGATGCCAAATTAGAAGACGCTGAAAGAGAAAAAGCTGCTCTTAACGAAGAAGTTGAAGCCGCAAATGAGAAGTTGAGAATCACTAAGAACGACTTGGGAAGAACCAAAGCCGAACTTGACCAACTCCAACAGAACTTTGACTATTTCAAGAAGAATGCCGACACCGATGCTGCTGATAAGAAGAAACTCAATGGAACTGTTAATGAGAGCAATAAGAAGATTTAGGAATTGAGTGCCAAAGTCGACAAATTTACTCACAAGAACAAGAAGTTGCTGAAGCAAACAAAGGTTCGAAACAGTCAAGAAGGACAAATTTGCGAAAGAAAAAGAAGCGAAGAAGTTGAAAGCAGAAAACGATGAAATTAAAGAGAAGGTGAAGAACTTGGCGAATGACAGATACCAACTTTCTTCTGAAAAGAAGAAGCTTCAAGACGAATATGACCAACTCAATAACTCAGTCTTTGGACATGAAGATGAGACCAACAACTTGAATGGTTCAATCAAAAAGTTACAAAGAGACTTAGAAACAAACAACACTGAGTTGACTGAATTAAGAGACAGAACGGCTAAAGACAAGAAGAAAATAGCCGATTTGGAACAACAAGTACAAGATCTTGAAGATAGACCAGTTGGGACTTCAAATACTGATCAAACTGAAGTCATCAAGAGAGACAACCAAATCGCTGATTTGGAAAAGGCAGTTGCTGCGTTGAAAGATCAGAACACTCAACTTGATGCTGCTAAGAAGGATATGAAGAAGCAGTCTGTCGAAGACGCTTCGAAGATTGAGAATTATGAACCACAGATTAATGCACTTGAAGCACAAAAGAAGATGGCTTTGGACAACAAAGCGGAGGCTGAGAAGACTGCTGCTGACCAATCTGATAGAAGAAAGAAGAAAGAATACTAAGTCAAAGCACTCAATGCACAAGTCTCGTCACTTAAAGTTTTAGTCAGTGCACCGGCTTCTGTTGCTCAAGAAGAAGAAAAGAACATGTTGAATGCAAGAATTGTTGAAATCCAAACTCAACTTGATGAAGAAAGACAGAAAGCTGACAGTGCAGATGCTGCTCGAAAGGCTGATTCACAGAAGGAACTTGAGAAGGAGAGAGCAATGAAACAAGAGGCTGACAAAGAAACTCAAAAACTTATAGCTAAAGTCACCAATTCAGAAGCTAAATTGACGGACCCTGATGCTACTGGAGCTTTTATTGCTAAATTGAAAGCGAAATATGAAACAGAATTGGAAGGAATCGAAACAGAAAAGAAAGAAGCACATAACGCGGCTGTTAAAGCTAAGAAACAAGCCAAACAGTATGCCAGAAAGGTTGAAGAGGCTGAAAGAAAGCTTGCAGAATTCGAACAGAAGAGTCTACAATTAACACTCAAATTGGTAAGACACAAACCGATTTGAAGAAGACACGACATTCAGTCAGAGACGGCCAGATGAGAATTGTTGAGTTGGAAGACATATCAGAAAATTTGGTGAAGATCTGAACAACAAACAACTTGAAGTTGATCGGGTGAGTGCAATTACTTTTGAAGACTAAGAACAATTCGATTTAAGTAAAACAAGAAAAGACAAGGATAAATAATTATTATTGTTATAGTTTTTTTAGATTAAAATCTGGTTAAAATACAAGAGTCTAGTTATTTAAAATATAATATTTTTATTATTATTTTATAGTTTAATTTCAACTAGATGCCTCGAGTCTTTGAAAGATAGGCTTGAACTTGGAGTCTTACTTAGAGTCTATGGGTAGACTCTAATAATTCCAAAAAATGCCTTTTCAAATAATTTTCATTTAGTGACGGATATTTCCGATGACAAAATAGATTGGTGATGTTCTATTTTTAATAAGAAACCAGAGTTTTATAACAAAATGATACAAATTGATTTAATCATATTAACTTTATCTGTAGAACGCAAAAATACATTTAAAAGTAGCGACTTATCTTAACAACATCACTGATGTTTTTATTTATTTAAAATAGTCAATTTACTATATTCTGTCAATTGTAATATTCTAATTATGTCTATTGATCTTTTCTTAGTATTTTGTTGCTTTAAAATTTGTGTTACCAAACTATTAAATTATAATTAATTATATCAACATTTGTGCTATTTGTTTTCAAATTAAAAATATTAACTTTAATATGATTCTAATATATTTTACTATAGTTTGTAGTTTGAAAAAACCCATAATAAATAAAATACCAAACTACTTTTCAATTGATATACTTCATAAAGATACAACGGGACACAAAGAGTAGATATGCCGCAACTGTCGAAACTTGTTGAACCCGGCGAGTTGCGGCGTCGTGAATCCATCTTCAGAAGATACAAGACACAAAGAGGAGATGCCTGAAAAAAGAAACATCAAGATATCCTAATCGAGTGTTCGTTCCAGTGTTAGTTTGAAGGGTGAAACCCGTTTTCTTTCAGTCTGTCCGGCCCTTCAAAAAAACAGATTTTGTTACAACTTGTGTACATTAATTCAAGTTATGGTGACGTGGCAAATTACAAAAATGACACTTTGATGTCAACGTGTTGCAAAGTTTAAAAACAAAAGTGACAAAAAATCAGTTAAGTTGGAAGACAACAACACTCTTGGGTGTGAATTTGTTATCAGTCAACTCGTTTTGTTTGGCGGTGTAAGTGGATGGTCTGCAATAACTACCATCAATGCCTTTCTTGCACACACGTATATCACAACCACCACCAAATCCAAAAAGATATTGATTATCTTGAGAATTCATCCAAAATTCATAATTGTCATTTCCACTTTTACCAAACTTTTTTGGATTCAAAGTGCCACTTCTCACAAGTGAAAAAATGTAAGAGCTGCCACTATTGAGCCAATTGCTAACTATATTAATATTTCCAGTAAACACGCCACCAAATTTGTTGTGATTTGTGTTTTCTATTAAAAAGCACAAGTTGCTTTTGTTCATAACTTTTTTATCAAACACAGAATTGTTCAGTGACCAGTTGTCTTTATCCGAATTAAACACAACACTCCCAATTTTCATTCCCGTCAACTTCTCAAGACCGGCTTCTTCTTCAAGTGTGATGTGTTCTCTTTTCATTCTTTCTTGTTCTTCTTCATCGTGTTGTCTCTTTGAGTTGATGTATTTCTCTGATTTAATAATTTGATCAATTTTATTGTTTTTTGCTTGTTTGATTCTGTTGATTTCATCTTCAAGTGGTTGTATGTCCATTTTGCACTTCTCCTCATAAAGTGCTATTTTGATATTGAATATCTCATACAACTTGTTGTTGTTGCTTTCTGTTGAGTACAGACTTATCTCACTTTTGATTTTATTTGATGCGTTATCCAAATCAGTGACGATTGTGTTGAGTGAAGTTGTGATGTTCTTCTTTCTCTCAAATACCTCATCAAGTCTGTCGAAGTGTCCCTCTGCATTTTCAATGCGTTGATCAATAACAAGTGACTTGTTGTCAACAAAGTTGTATTCCTTATTATTTTTGTGGAGGTCTGACACCGCCTTTGCTGCGTTAGTGCAGAGTGCTGAGAGTGCTGTTAACTCGTTTTCCATTGTATGTTAATAGAGTTTATTCGTTTTTATATTTAATTTTATATAAATCTCATTCAAAAACATTATTACCTCATACATAATGTTTTTTTTCGATTAAAAACCAAAATAAAATATTCAAACTTACATAAAATGATTTTAATTTCAAGAAGGGTCTATCACGGAACAGCGAAAAATTTGGAACTCGTCCCAAAAATGCATTTTAAAATGAAAAGGTGTATTTTTTATTTGTTTTTATGCCAAAAATAAAGTAGTTTTAGTAAAATCCATAGTTATGTTTGTTTTTGCGATCTCCAAAAAATTTTCTTTACAGACGGGTATTTTTTGCCGCGGTCGTTTTTTTACTTAAAACGTTAGTTAACAACAAAACTATATAATATTAAAATGTATAGTATAAAAATAAATAGTTTATTAATATAATATTTATACTATACATAAAAAACTATTAATTATAATTGATAATATTATAAAAAATAAGTAATTGTTTAATAACGATTAAATAATAATTTAACTTGTTAAAATATAATTTGTTATTAAATATACTTTTTTTAAACATGGTTAAGTGAAATCAACCAGAACAGAGCTGTCACCTTGCGATTACTTGTTAAAATTAATTTATTGTTGCTTTTCATCACTTTCAAACACCAGATAGTGGTTTAATATACCAAATTAAATAATATAAAATGTAATAAAATGGATTATAACAAAACTTTGAATCACGATACTTGGTGTTGTTTATAATTAGTTTGTTTTATAAACGTGCAATACTTTGATAGAACAGAAGAGTTATTATTCGTAGGAAAACAAGTGAAACTACTCTGTTTATCATTGGTGCATAAACAGAGTGTTTGAAACAAAACAACTTCAATTAACTTCATTCTATTGTTTAATCTTTTTATAATTTCATCAAAGCTATTATCGAATCATATATTTACTTAAAAACTGTCAGTCAGTTTGTTTGTTGGTGTGTTTAAATATAGATCATATTTAATTTAATTTGAAATAATAATTACAATTATTATTATTGATTTTATTAATAAAATATTAAAGAATATTATATAAAAGTACTATATAACAAGTCAGTGAAAAAATCTGGCTTGTTTTAAATTATAATATTTATTGTTATATGTTATAAACATTAAAATATTTCAAAAACAAAACCAAAAAACTAAAAATAAAATACTTATAAAAATGTTGTTTGAAATTATTCCAATTCACCTCGATGAAACTAATGTTTTGAATACGAAAACGGAGTTTTGTAGTGACAGAAAAGTCCTTGAAATGGCTTGCAAAAGCGGAGCTTCGAGACAGTGAATTCTTCGCAACGACATACAGCTGGTAAGATGTGAAATATGTGGGGTTTGTTGAGCCAAAACATGTTTCCGTTATGTTGCTTTGTGTTTGTATTACTATTACACACAAATGACACAAACAACTGAATTAATTAAGGACGAAACAATCAAACAACGAATTAGAAATTTGGTGGATTTCTTGTTGTATCTAGATTAAAAGAATCTTACAAAGCCAGACTATTCGATTTGGGAGGAAAGCATAGACGCATTGACTTCCTTAAGTATCCCACCGCAGTACTGTGGATTCACACAAATTCATGGCCACCACAGATTTTTGGCGGCTGCTATGATGGTAGAAAAGTATTACAAAGATACTAAAAGAGCTGAATTACGAGAAAGAGCAGGCAGGACCGATCAACTTCATTTGAGAAATTGTTCTGGATTGAAGAGAAAGGACACTTTGTCCAAGTTATTTGGACAACAAAAGCAGAAAGTGATTATCGACACATTGACTGCAACTATGGCGTTCAATAACATTGTAACTGATCAAATAAAGATAAAAAACACTTTGATAACATCAGAAAGTTCAACACCAAACTTGAATGCGGCATTGCAAAATATCCACAAGACTCATACTTCTATTTTTCAAAGTGGAATATTGGAGGAAAAGAAGTCAGTGAAGAAAGCCCACTATGGTGAGAAGCTGTAGACGGAATCACTGGCGACCCGATTATGTCGTCAATGCCTGATGTATACAAACACGCATGTGTGCAGTCATGACAGCGCTTCAGAATCAACAACTCTTCCCATTCTTTAATTATAAGAAGCGGTAATTTGGTAGTTTCGTAATTATTGTTATACTATAACATGTGTGCTGATATAAAATAATAATAGTATTAATAAATTAACCAAATAATATATAATGGGAGGAGTCGACTGATACTCAATGATAATCATTGGAAAAGACTTTGCAAGTGTCAAAGATTTCAAAGTTTTTATGATAATCATCAGTCGAAAATTCAATTTATTGAATAAAATGTACCATTTTAATCTGATACATTTGACATCATAATAGGAAAACAAGTTGTTCCTAACATCGAGACTTACCATCTCTATTCAAAAGGTGATTTTGACACATTATTTACAAAAAGGTCATTCTTGATTTGATGACTCAAGAAGACGCATTGGTCTTCCACAGAACATAGAGTGCACAAATGTTGTGTTTAGTCGAGAAGATGTCTCCTTTGGTTGTGAAATACCAACTTCAAAAGAGATGCAGTCGTTGTCATCATCATGTTTCAATTCATCAACTGAACAACTACAGTCTGGTCTCAAACCAGTCCTTCCCAAATCAAATATAAAGGTAGGTCGTTTTTTGTTTTTTTTTCGAAAAAACAAAACTTATCCCAAACAACAAAAAAAACAAATAGGCTGTGTTAGCCAAAGTAAAAATTTGAATAACATTTTAGTGTCAAACAAAATGTTTTACAAACCAAATGAAAGATAATGTTATTTGTTACAAAAATAAGTTGGTAAAACTCAAAATAGAACATATTGACTTTGGCCAATGAATTGATATTGTTATAAGAAAATAAAAACAAAAGTTTATCGTCGTTGTAATATGAAATATATAAATTGTGTTTTATCTCAATGAAAAATAGGGTGTGTAATTGAACCAAAGACAAACAAATTAATTACATATTATTGATGTGGTATAACTATTCGTAGTACCACTTAATTCACAAAGTAAATATTACTTTATGAACATACAGTTTGTATATTATTATAGAAAGAGTTCAAGACTTTTATAGTTCGTTTTTTAAAAATAGATCAATAAAATGTTTTTAAATAACCAAACAATAAAATTGCCGTTAATTAATTATATTTTTGTTTATCCAATATTAATTCGATATGTTAGAGAAAATATTTTTTTAATCATTTGTATATGATGTGATTCTGATATACTTTTCTACGATAGCAAATTTAATTATAATTACAAACTATATTTGTCATTATTTGTAAAGTTGTTATTATTTTAAGCAAATATCAATAGTATGATTAGGGTGCACAATCGCAAACCACAAATGCCCATAATGCCCGTTTTTTACATAAAATTTCCATTTGCGTAAGCCGTTCAATATTTCTCAATAATCGCAATCTGCAAATTCCATAGAACTTGTAGTTCCTTTTTGAGATATGCCATTTCGAACAAAAAAACAAAGATCAACAACAAAAAGGAAAAAAACAGTTTTTATTTTTATTTGCATTTTTAATCTCAGAAACATTTCCATCACCAAAAAGAAAAAATGCCGATTTCTTCATTTTTTTACAAACATCCAAAAAACTTCATTTTCTTACCACAAAAAATATAAAACAACTTTTAAAATAAAAGGAATATAATGTTTTTCAAAGTTAAATTTTTTAGCAAGTATCAACCTAAAAACAAAAAAACGAGGAAATATATTTAAATAAACTGTACGATGACATGAATCATTTGAATTCAATTCAAATATTAACATGTTAAATAGAAAAATATTAACTAACTTCAAGTTGTATGTTCAAAAAGGTGATTTTTGAAGCAGTGTGAGGATTTGTTCTGTTTCTCTCATCAGTCAAAATATTTCCCATCACGCTAAAAACTTTTTCAGAATCAATGCTTGTGGATTGTGCAGACAAATACTTTCTTGACAATTCTTTCAAGTGGGTGAAAGTGCTATTTTACCAGTAAGTCAATAGGGTTTTCATGCAATTAATTTTCACCATTAGCTGTCCCTTTGTCTTCCATATATTCTCCAAGTTCTTTCGCCACTTCAGAAACTTTGGCATCTAACTCTCTTACTCGTTGATCATTTTCATCCGTTGTTAACTGTATAGAAAGTTTCCTTTTCGCAGTAAAGTAATATTGAGAGCCAACCAACTTAGATTCAACAACTCTTTTAATATGTTCTTGATCCCTTAAATTCAATTATTTGTCTCTTTCAGGAGGATATAGAAAACAGGCAATTTTGAAATGATCATTGTCGAGAATCTTTCCAAACCTCTTAGAAAATCCATTTCGAGCAATCTTTTTCCAATCTTTTCCAAAAAGAAGCTCTTGTGTGTTATTCGTGTTGTGTTGGTGTGATGGTCCACTATTTATTAGAAAGGTGTTGTGATGTGTTTTGAGCAAGTTGGGGTTGTTGTAAACCGACTGTTAATTGAGAATAAGATGGCAATGTGGCATAATTCTGTCGGTAAGTGAGAGGAGAAAGAGAGGTTGACAGATGAAGACTGTGGATGACTGGTTGTGTTGAAGGAATGTGAGGTAGTGTGAAGTAGTGTGATCTTGTTGCAACGGGAGAAATAATTCGAAAAAGTTGGGTAGATGGGCGATCATCATGTTCACTCCACTTCTGTGTTGGGTATTTTCTGATCATTTCCCATATCTTTGTTAGAATTCCTAATACAAAACATGAATTTGGAGTTGAGTTGGTGGAGAGAGTATTGTATGCATCATTCATCAATTTGACGAATGGAAAGATTTTCTTCATTTCCACCCAATTTTCATCTGTCAAATGGTTTGTTCCACGCGTGTCGTTTATCGACTTCTCCATTTGAAGTGCCGTTTCAAAAGATTTACAACAAGAGTTGAATCTTGTTTTGCAAAATGTTGCCAGACAACAATACTTCTATTCATTCTCTTCACACTTCTTTTTTTTAACAAAACACGCGTTGATGGTGATACTTGACAAGTTTTCGACACATTATTCAACATTTTCAACATTTTGTTGAGTTCTGGTATATTCTTTATTAAGTCTGAAAAATCAAGTTAATCCCATGAACAACACAATTTAATTTCTCTCCACAAACATCCGACAGTCCATTGTTATTCCGACACCCATCAGACACGATGTAATAAATGTTGTTTATGATCCCAAATTGCTCCAACACATCTTTGCTTTTCTTCTTGATGTTGTCAGCAGTGTGTTTTTCGTTGAAAACACTGACTTCAAGTATCGAGTTTTTGGGGTTGAACTGCTTGTCAAAATAATGCAATGTGGTTGTATTGAAGCTGTTCCCGAATTTGGACATTATATCCGTAGAAACACAACCATAGTTCCCCTCAGTTTATTTTCTGACTTCAGAAATAAAACTTTTCATTTTGTCGTTGTAGACTTTGTTTAGCAATGAAGTTCTAAATGTGGTGGTTCCACACAGCTTCACAGTGGGGTCAAGGAGCTTGATCAACTCGACCAAGAATGGATTTGTGACTTGTTGCAAAGAAATATTTCCTGTTATGAAAAATTTTAATAATAGTGTATTGAGCTTGACACTTTTTGGAGAGTAATTTTTCAAAACTTCAAAATTGTCGATGTCACTCTCATCAATGTTTTCGGGGTGAAGTGAATAAAGGTATGTTCTCATTGAGGACGTTGTTCCTTGAAAAATGAGGCATTTGTGACAAAATTTGCATATTACCTTTCCCTTACAATTTTGACATCTTGAGTTAAAATTGTGGTGTTCGGAACACGTCTTACAGTCTTTTTCAAAATATTTCCAAACAAAGAAACGTTCTTTGTTGAATTCTTGCATGTATTTTTTATAGTTTTTTTTAAATTCAATTTTTGTTTTTTGAAATTAAAATAATTTAAAATAAACAAATATTTTTATTTATTTTTAAGTTATTTTTTAGTTTACACTAATTATTTTTGCCGTCTGTTAAACTTTTAGTTTTTGAAAAAAAACAGTTAAGTATTGATTTAAATATTCAAGTTCTATATATTTTACTTTCAATTGTTCAAATTTGACAAAACCATTATTTCTTTTTTATCTCTTAAATAATTTGCATTTTCGGTTCGAAAAAGGGATTTCTGTTTTTTAAATATTTAATTGTGTACACGTTTCGGAAAACAGACGAATTTCGTCTCTTTTTACCATTTTCAGTAAAAATAATTTATTTGAGCAATATCAACTTCGTTATTACTACAAAAGAGTCTCTCTACCACTTTAGAAATATTTCCTCTTGCGATTGCGCACCCTATAGTATGATTATAATAGTTATTTATTAATTAAAAATCTATTTAAAATAATAATTGTGTATTATTATTATTAAAAATAAATAAGTATTAAATTACAGTAAATTATGGGATAAAACCTTAATTTTTAACGTGAAAAATTGTAAGTTTTTAATTTTTATTTCGTTTTTAAAATTGCTTTTTATGGTGAAAAAATAACCTTTTATAAATTATAAACAATCAAATTATATTATCAATATATTAAATTTGTAAAAAGTCAAAAAAGTTTACATAAAAAACTACCCAAAAGCATGATAAATGTTATATTGTCATTTTAAGCATTTTGGGAAGTATGTTTATTGGGCAAAAAATGGTAACGAGATATGATTCAAAAATTAATTAAATAATTAAATTTAAACTTTTTTCTATTTATATTTTAAAAAATTTCCATTTTTTGTAGTTTTGTCAAAATTGTTAACTAACTTTAATTTTGTTATACTTTATTAAATCATTTATTTTTTTGAAAAATTTATCATTTTTGAAATATGTTATATATTATTTTTTATCATAAATATCATTTATATTCTCAAAAATACACGTTTCAATGTTTTAATATAAAAAATACTCTTGATGTTATTAAATATGCAATTTTAGGAAGATTGGAATAAAAAATTCTAATTTTGACTGTGTTTTTGTTTTTTTAACAATTTTATGA